GAATGTATAACACAAGGTTAATTAAAGTTTAAACTTTATATTTTGAGTTTAAACTAAACTTTACACTGTTAGATGCTTTAATAGTTTGCTTTATGTGTAATTGTCTATCAATTTATAATAGTTGAGAGTTGAGATTTTAATTACTCATACTATTGGCAGAGGTAACATTGATCATTTTTATTTTAATTTACTTTAGATGATGCTCATTGATATTTTTTATCTTAATTGTTATTATAAAGGTAACCGAAGAGGCAGAGCAAGATGATGAAATGAATGAGGATGGTGTGCCATTGCTATCAGATTCAGACCAAGATGATGAGGAGTCTGATGATTGATGATGATTATGCCATAATCATCAAACAAAAACAAGCTAACAAGCCTAAATCCTAACATATTTTGCAAGACAGAAACTTTTTTTTTTAATATTATGTTTTTTGGAAGTACTTTGAACTATTTTATCATGTTTTGGTGGTTGGGTAAACTTGGGTTGATGAATTGCAGTATCTATTATTCGTTTTGAAGGTTTTTTTTGTCACGTGGCGACGCCATATTTGCGCCATCGCCATCGCCATGGAAAATGGCCTGTGCGCCATGGGTTGCGCCATGCGCCATGACAACTATGCTCTATACTTCTCCACAACTTGTCTAAGAAGGTGAATGGCCTCAGTTGTTGAGCGTCCAGGCATAAAACCAAATTGATTCTCCGAAATTTTCACACTTTTACGTAGTCTTTGCTCAACCACTAGCTCCCAAAGTTTCATTGTGTGACTCATAAGCTTAATCCCTCGATAGTTAGCGCATTCTTGCACATCACCCTTATTTTTAAATAAGGGAATGAGAGTACTCTTCCGCCAACTCACTGGCATTTTGTTGTTTCTCCAAATCATGTTGAAGAAACGTGTTAGCCACTTGATGCCTTTCTCTCCCAAACTTCTCCAAGCCTCGATCGGTATGCCATCTGGGCCCACTGCTTTCTTCCGACCCATTTTTCTCACAGCCTCTTTAACTTCTGTTGTTTGAATCCTTCTCACGAAGTCCCTATTTACCATACACTCTGGTATAGTAAGATCATCAATACCTTGGACTTTATTCCCGTTGAACAAGGTATCAAAGTATGACCTCCACCTCTCTTTTATTTCTTCATCGTCCATTAGTACCCTTTGATCGACATCCTTCACACACTTAACTTTTCCGATATCTTGAGTCCTACGATCACGAAGGCGAGCAAGTCTGTAGATATCTTTTTCTCCTTCCTTAGAATCCAACTTTACATACAATTCCTTATTCACTTTTCCTTTGGCTTCCTTCACAGCTTTCTTTGCTCTTCTTCTAGCCTCTTTGTACTCCTCTATGTTCTCGTCGCTCCAACTTTTGCCCAATTTCTTATAGCATTCTCTTTTGGCCCTTATTACTTGTTTCACCTCATCATTCCACCAAGATGTGTCTTTTTTTGGTGGCAGACATCCTTTAGATTCTCCGAGTATCTCCTTCGCCACTTTGTTAATGGTGGACTCCATTGGTAACCACACATCATCCACGTGTGCGTCATTATCAATAGACCAAACATCTTCCTCCAACATTTTGTGTGCAAAACTTTGTTGGAGATTCCCCTCGAGCCTCCACCATTTTATCTTTGGCTCCCCTTGTACCTTAACTCGTCCACTCTTTTTACCTCGAAAATCAAGCACAAGCATCCTATGCTGAGTGACAGCACTCTCACCTGGGATAACCTTACAATCAGTGTAGCTAGTTTTCCAAGTTGTCCGTACTAAAAAGTAGTCAATTTGGGTACTATTAGCTCCACTTCTGTAGGTGACAAGGTGAGAGTCTCTTTTCTTGAACCAAGTGTTCATCACAACCAACTCATATGTCGAGGCAAAATCCAGAATGTTCTTCCCCGCTTCATTTCTAGTGCTAAAACCATGTCCGCCATGGACACTCTCAAAACCATCACGACTTAGGGCCCACATGCCCGTTGAGGTCGCCTCCTATGACCAGTTTCTCTCCCCTTGGCACTCGTCGCACCACTTCTTCAAGATCCTCCCAAAATTGTTGAGTGATAGATGCATCCAATCCCACTTGTGGTGCATAGGCACTAACCACGGACACAATCTCATCCCCCATTATCAACTTAATGCTCATGATGCGATCGTTCTTCCTAAACACTTCAACCACACCGTCAACATAATCATGTGCCACCATAATGCCTACTCCATTTTTGTTCCTCTCTCTCCCCGAGTACCAAAGCTTAAAACCTCCGGGATTAATCTCGCGTGCCTTTTCTCCAACCCACTTAGTTTCTTGCATGCACATTATGCTGATATTTCTCCTCTTCATAACCTCAGCTATCTCAGATGATCTTCCCGTAAGAGAGCCAACATTCCATGTCCCAAAGCGCAATCTAACATCCTACCTTCTCTTCTTCACCCCACATCGACCCCCACCATGCCCTTACATATTTGACACCATCCCCGGGCATTGGAGTGGCGCATCGCTTCCGGGCGACGACCTAGCAGCCTTAGCATTCTTATCACCACACACAGGCCTATGAAGTGTAGCGCGCCCTTGCCCATTTGACACCACCCCCAGGCGGAGGGATGACGCGTCGCTTACGGGCGACAACCTAGCTGTAGCGATATTCATATTTCAATTCATGTCATGTGATGTGACTAAGTGATACTGTTGGCTGTCACGCGCCTACCACAGCACCCTCCTCCTTTATCCTGGCTTGGGACAAGCATGATACCAAAAAATTGATCTCATGGCGGAGTTAAATCGACATGACAAGAATGAGTACAACACAAAGAATCACCATTTCCGATGTACACTCGCAATGGAGGCACCTCTGTTACCGATAAGTGCAATTTTTCAGCGATACCTGGTTGAATAAAGTTATGTGTGCTACCCCCATCGATGAAGACTTGTAAAGTGGCAGTGTGAACTATCCCGGTAAAGCGCAAGGATCGGGGCGCGCCTAGGCCGGCCATAGAGTGAAGGCTAGAGCAGCCCGCTGTCAGTATGGGTTCCTCTTCAACGTGAATTGTGTCTGAGACGGGCAGTAGTTCATCATCCTTGCTGCACATCAAGAGAAGGGCACGGTTAGGGCATTTGTGGTTTCTAGACCACTTTTGGTTGCAGGTATAGCACTCTCCCTTTTCAAACATGGCTTGCTTTTCTGCTGGGCTAATTTGGATGATGGGAAGGTTTTTTGGGTGAGCAACGGTAGATGTATTCTGCCGAGCCAGGTTCAGATGGGGTGGGTTGGGATTTGTAGTGAGGGCCGGTGGACTAGGAGTAGGACCCATGTGTTGTAGTGGTTTGGTAGAGTGGGATGAGGATTTGAAGGATGTGTAGATGTCTCAATGTTGAGCCTCAATCTCGCTATCCAGTGCAAAAGTTTGGATTAAAGTGTCCGGTTTGGCACGCTGCACCTCACGTCCAATCGTTGATTGGAGACCGGTGACAAACATTGAGATTAAAATCGTCTCTGGCACCCCTATGACCTTATTTAACAGTTTTTCATAGTCTGCCCGATACGCAGCGACTGTTGTGAGTTGTCGGATCTTGGATAATTTCCCCACAAAATCTTCAAAATGCACTGGGTCAAAACGCTGCTTTAAGTGCTCCATAAAATCAGTCCATGTGCGAAGAAGGTTATTGTTTTTCATCCAACGAAGCCATTCGGAGGCCTCACACTCCACCATAAATGACACAAAGGAGAGCCGCTGAGCCTCTGAAACTTTATGATACTCAAAATATTCTTGAGCCTGGAAAATCCAATTATGCGGGTCGGTACTGTCAAATGTGGGAAGAGCTATTTTTGGAAGGAGCGTACGAGCAGTGGATATATGGGTGTGATCCATGTAAGAAGGATTAGCGGAAGAGGTCCCTGCAGTGATTTGAAGCGCTTCTCAATGGTGTGGGCTGAGTCCCGAATGGTACGTTGCAAGGCCTGCGTGGTGTGGTGGTTGTAGGTAGCCTAGTCCCGTAATTCATCGCGAAGTTCGGCGATTGATTTTTCCCAGGTAGGGCAGACGGACTCGTCGGACATGATGGATGCAGCGACGTCGATGAAAGCACCAGTTGATACACCTTGGTATCAAACGTACTTTTCGAGCAAGTACTGGCTCCGGATTAACGCACTTTGAGTGTACGCAACTCCAAATTCTCAACCTAACAGCAAGAATAAACTGTGATTTATTTTCTCAATGGCCTCCAAAAAACAACGGTGTAGGCTATTTATTCTAATGGCCTATTGTTTGCTACAAAAGTAAATAAGGAAAATACATAAATGAATTAACTAAAATAAAGTGATCTCATGGGCATAGATTTCTCCTTTCCCTGCATGGTTTCTGCCACCTTATTCCCCAAAGAAATGAGCTGAATCTTCTCTTACCCATAAATAAATGACGGGTCTTGATTTGCTTTCCTTACTCGTGTGGTGGGCCTTATCTGATTTGGTGGTGATCCTTTGGTTTGACTGATTGGCGTATCATAATCCATCATACTCCCTCCGTTCCTGAAAATACTTCTAACTTTCCCTTTTCGTCCGTCCCAAAAAGAACTTCCCTTTCCTTTTTTGGCAAAGAATTTGTGGTTCAAATTCCCACCACACAATTCTCACTTTCTTAATCCGCGTGCCACTTTATTTCGGAAGTAAATTATGGGATGGAGGTAGTATAAGATTACAGAGATCAGGCATGTGCATGTCACCGTTAAAATCTTGCATTCAATTCCACCAAAAGTGCAAACGTTGAGGACTTTAGAGTTGGCAATGCAGAATGCTCAAATCACTAATGGATGAATTTAAAAACCTAGCCTTCTTTTTTGACAGATGCTCTGTCAAGAACAGCATTGCATTAATTCGTATAATCATGTGCGAATTACACATCAACATCAAAGATGCAAATGTGGTAACTGTACTCATAGTAATTCAAACAATTAATGTGTATGAATAAAGATAAAGTAGGTTTGTTCATTTTGGGTAAGGGAGTAATAACCTGAAGTTGAGGAGCTGACCAAAGGAGAAGAGAGGCCAGAAGTAGAAAGGCGGGGGCCAAGAAAGTGAGGAGACGGAGAGAAGGGAGAGGAACTGGAAGAGCTTGAGAGCGTGAGAAACCATGGCCATCACGTGAGATGGATCTCGCAGTTTCCCGCAAAGATCCACCCATGTTTGAGGGCGAGTCCAGAGCCAGTAATAGAACGGGAACGGGGAAATCACCCCGATCCATCCCAACAACCACATCTTCCTTCTTCACTCAGTACCCTGCCACATCCTCATCAAATATGGGATGGGACGGATGGTGTTGGTGTAGCTCCACCCTATCACAGTCTATTTGCTTGTGTATACTTAACTCTCTTTTTTCAATTTTGGTTTGAGTATACGCTTTTCATACACACATACACACTATAAATAACCTAAAAATTTACCATTTTTTAACCCCTCCCCTCCCTCACGTGAGAAACAACCCCAGACTCTCTCCTCTCTTCCCACTTGATTCTTTCTTTCTTCTTCCCGCAGCAGCTCAATCCATACAACCCCAGATTTGTTTCTTTATTCTTCTCTTCAAAATCAATGGGTTTTGGTGGCTTTGTGAACGAAATGATCATTGATACTACGGTGGACGATTTTTGGGCTGAAATTGGTGGAGAACCGGCGGTGGCTGAGGTTGAGGGTGAACTGGCGGCGGCGGCTGAAGTTGACGGAGAACCGGCGGCAGTGGCTGAACTTGATGGAGAACCGGCGATTCCTGCCATGGATGACGTCCCCAAGCTTGGTATGAGTTTGTGTTGTTGATTTCATTGGGTTTCAACTTAAATATATGTTTGTTCTTCACAACAATTCTCTGTATTTGTGTAGTGTATAATATCGTCTGTGTGTTCATGAAGTGGAAATAATATTGTTTGTGTTCAAAATGTTATGTCTGTGTGTAAATAAACTTATATTTGAAATGTCTGTGTGTAAATAAACTTATATTTGAAATGTCTGTGTGTAAATAAACTTATATTTGAAATGTCTGTGTGTAAATATAATTGTGTCTGTGAGTATATGTACTTATGTCTGTGCGTAAATCTACCATTGCCTCTGCGTAAATGTACTTATGTTTGAAATGTCTGTGTGTAAATGTACTTGTGTCTATGTGTATATATACTTCTGTCTGTGCTTAAATATACCACTGCATGTGTTGGTCAGATGGAGAAATTCAGTAAAATAAGAGTGACGATGGTTCAATAAAAGCTCCAGATGTTGGTATGGAATTTGATAGCAAAGAAGCGGTGTATAATTTTTACAAGACATATGGGAAGCGTTTAGGATTTTCCGTAAGAACTCGGAGCGCCACCAAACATAAAAATGGCAATCTAACACAAAAACCACAAAAAAGGATCATTGGAGAAGGGGAAGTACACCACAACCGATCTCTCAACATGGCAATGGACAGGGGGGACGTAATGACATGATGAATTGTAGTGATTTAGATTTTTTTTAGTGGTTTAAATTTAAATCTTAGTTTGATGTAAATGTGCATGGCAGTTTTTAAAATGATTTTTTCCTCAAAGTCTTTTATTCAAACTATACAAAAGCAGATACATAGCACAAACATATACACCACACATCACAGACAGAGTGTTTGTTTTTCACAGACACACAATGTGTTTGTGACAGATATTAATCATATTATAGTGTACTTTAACAATTTTTTAAAATGTTTTTTCTCAAAAAGTCTTTTATTCAAACTAAGCCCTAGCAGATACATAACACAGACAAATACGCCACACATCACAGATAGAGTATTTGTTCTTCACAGACACAATGTGTTTCAGATATTATAGTGTACATAGCACACATAAATACGCCACACATCACAGACAGAGTTTTTGTTCTTCACAGACACGCAGTGTGTTTGTGACAGATATTATAGTGTACATAGCACAGACAAAGTGGATACAAATCACAGACAAAAAAGCTTTCTCCATTTATATGAACACCAATGACAGTTAGTGTTCCTCACACAAACAAAAAGGCATACCAATGTACAACATTGGTAATATTTGAGAGTACATTCTAGGACATTATACAACATTGTTATTGTAACATTGTACAACATCCTACATTTAACAACCAAACCCATGCAGGCCAAAACTAACCCCCACAAAATGTATATAGTAAGGTTACATCAATGATTGTACATCCAAACCCATCATACACTAAACATTCACACCCATTAAAACTTGTCTAAGTTGATCGCTTCCTTGAAGTCCAGAGTCTCTTTGCAAATTCACATCTTTTCGCTGCCATGTTCTCATACGCACACTCGGGCATCAAGGGCAACTTCAGCAACAGTGACTCCACAAACGCTGCCACCATAACTCCGCAAACACCGGATCTGAAAATAATACAATTCATAGAGAATAATTGCTTGAGATGGTGGTTCTCAAAAAAATTGAATGTTTATGATAATTGCTCACGAACAAAATAATTAGCCTAATGCTTTTTAGCAATTGACTATTTTTTACACACAGATAAAATAAATTAACATACAAACAATATTTTAACTACGCACAAACAATATAAAGGAACACACAAGCAATTAATTTTTACGCACAAGCAAAACAAATGAACAAAACAATGTTCATTTGTATTGCCTATGCAGCAAAAAAAACTTAGCTAAAATTATCTTGTTTGTGAGCTTCATAGATATTTACTCAAAGTTCTAATAAGATAACATGTCTTCTCTTTTAACTACTTTACAATATTTTCTACACTTTCATAATTCCTATAAATTTTCTACACTACTTGTAACCCATTTGATAGCCAAAAGTGGCTTATTCTAATTTGCAAAATAAGCGACATACACAGCTTTTGTCTTGTTTGGCTGAAATGAATTTTACCAAATGATTTTCCTTTCAAAAACATTAAGAGATTCGTGCATATAAGCCGAATAATCTTACTAAAATAGTTCGAATAGGTGAAAAGCTAAAACAACACCTAGGAGCCTAATCTCATCTTCAACATGTTTAGGAGAGCCTGGTCTACCTATAAAGACTATAAGTGAATCCCTTTAAGGCTGACCTTGGAGGGTTTTTAGAATAATGGTGACATAAAAGGTAGCATGATGGGATAAATAACAAGATTTTCCAAATAGTCATTGCGAAAACTCACATTCCAAAGTAACCAATTCGAAGGATTCAAATCACAGGGTACATGCTCCACCAATTTCATTCCAGAACATGACTGTGCTCCCAATCAAAGAGAGGTAAAGGAGCAAATATTTCAAGCATCCATTATCCATAGAAACAACCTCCAAGAGGTGAGACTAGTCAAAAGTCTAGTGAAAACAAGAAAATTAGATTCTTGAACTAATTAACAAAAAAAGAGTAAGAGTTTTGGATTTAAACGAAAAACATCATTGACTCATTTCAACAAACATGTTATGAGCATAAATGTGAAATAGAAAAATTGAACTAAAATTTCATTTACTAACACTACATTCTCTTACAACAATACAAAGTACTCAACTATTAAGTGTTATACCATACATAATATACAAAAAATCAGAAATTTTAAATAAATAAAACCCTAAAATCAGAAAAAATCAAAATAGATTATTACCTCAATATTAAGGGTTGGTTGATTGGTATTTCTTGTTCGAGCGGCGAATCGACCGTGTCATCCGGCCTCGACGTCGCATAGATTCCAGCTGCAACCACGCCGTTGATGTTGGACTCGGATTTGAGGGGGATGGCTTACAAGGCTGCAAGGGGAAAAATGGACGAAAGAGTGGTGTTGGTGGGTGAAACGTGCTGGTGCAAGAAGAAATAAAAGAAGAAGAATGAGGAAAGAAGATGGAATGGAAATTAAAAAGAAGAAACAGAGAAGCTGGAGGTTGGGAGACCGATCGTAGGAGGAAAAGAAGTAAAGGAAGGACAAGAGGGAGAGAGAAGATAAAAGAAAGGAAGAAGGTAAAAGTTGAGATGGGGAAAGGGGGTAAATTATTTTTGGGAGTATTTATAGTGTGTATGTGTGTGTATGAAAAGTGTGTAACAATAGACTTTTTGCTTTTTTTTTAACTCTTTTTTTTAATGTCGGTGATTTATTATTTTAAGAAACTTGAGTTAAATGGGTTATTTTAGGCCTTTTTTATCAATATTACTAAATAAAAGCATGAAGACAAAAAAGTGACTTAGATAATAAAATCCCAAAACTATGACTAGTGTGCCGAACACGTGGATTGACTTCATAAAACCTACCATTTGCTGATGAAGTCAACCAACAGTTTCTACGCTAAAAAATCGGTGAAATTAAATCCCTTTGATCATGTGTAACTGAAAGCCAAAAATGAGGGAAATTTACGCTATCAAAGATCGCCGGCCATTTCCAGAATCCATTGTCGCCAAGTTCCAAAATAGAATCCGGACGACTGATAAAGAGGGTGCTACTACCAAGAAGAAGTGTGGGGAAGTCACTAATACACTAAGTTGTGGTGTGAACAGGTAAAATCTGTTTTGAAACATTGTTTTTGTAGCAGCGACACACAGTGGACCAAGAAGTTTTATGACTATAATGCTGAAGTTGGCACTTAGATAATTGTGTGGGAATTAGAGTGACTGTTCTGTACCAAAAGTAGTCTAAAGTGGTGTGGGATATTGAAAAGTTTGCAGAAGTTAGTAGTGACCAGTGTTCTAAAAGGCGCTAGGCGCTAGTCGGGCGGTGACTAGCCGCCTAGCGCCTAGTATTCTCCCTTGATTTCTTTGTGTTATTTTTATATCCATTGAGTTTTAAATATATTATCAATAATTTTATAAAATATTAACAATATGAATAGCTCATATAATCATTAGATATTATGTTTTTTGTATAAAAATGATCAATAATAAAATAATTTATATATAAATGAAGAGATTTGTATTTTTTAGTCTCTAAAAATGGTTATATACATTCTAAAAAATTATATATATTTGAAAATTATTTTTTATTATAGTTATATGAAACTAAAGTGTATAGGAATAAAATACTTGTTGATCAAATGTTATTTTAAGACAAAACGAAAGAAATAAGTTGATTTAGGAAACAATTAATCTGAGCCGCCTAGCCACCGCCTAGACCGCCTAGCCACCGCCTAGACAGCCTAGGCTCCCGCCTAGCCGACTAGTCGGCCGCCTAGCTCGTCTAGGCACCCGATCGACTTTTTCCACCGATAAGACCGAAATCGGGGCGCCCGACCACCGCCTAGCGACTAGATGGCGCCTAGGCGGGCGCCTAGGCCGAGTTTTAGAACCATGGTAGTGACTGAATCATGTAGTGTTGTGAAATAGTAGTGGGTGATATGAATGTAGATGCAGTGACTATAGGTGACTAATAATATATTCTTACAGTGACTGATAGAATACAGAGTGAATCATGTAGTGACCTGATAATATGTAGTGACTGGTCACATATGTAATCAGTGACTGATTAAATACATAGTGAATCATGTAGTGATGTGAGATAGCAGTGACTGGTAATATATTCTATCGGTGACTGATAGAATACAGAGTGAATCATGTAGTGATGTGAGATAGTAGTTATTGATACTAGTAAAGATGTAGTGACTATCGGACGAGACGAAGTGATTGGTGTGTCGATGTGAATCGGTAGTGACTTCAAAGTGAATCGTGTGGTGATGTGATTTAATATTGATTGTTTTTAGGGATGATTGTAACAGGATTCATAGGTTGCGATTGGGATGAGGGCATTAGATGTACTTTGAGTGTTGGTATTGACTTGTATAATTTGTACACTAAAGTTTCATGACATGAAAATGCTATGAAATAAAGCTTTATTTAGGTGATTTAATTTTGAAATCACAGGTATGGAACACATTATGGTGACGCTACTGTATGACGGTAGATGGAATACGGAAAATTATTTCATGGCGAAGTCATCACATGGAATGCTACTTTCAGTGGATGTGTCGTATAGTGACCTGTTATGCGAGGTTCGAGAAGTTTTGGGACTAGCTGAGAATGAGGAAATAAGTTGCATAGCTTATCGGATTGACAAGGCATTTCCACCAACAAAAGTGGATAGTGACCAGAGTTTTAGGTTTTATTCTCATATAAAGTGCAGAGAAAAATTTGATTTTAGTGCATATCCTTTGTGTGTGCAAGTGAGGAAGGAAAGAATTGCTGTCGAAACGGTTTTGGATTCCCAAGCGGAAGAAAGAAACATGGAAGTGCATAGAGACTTTGATTTGAATGGTCAAGGTAATGAGGTATATGCTCCCATGCAATTGGAATATGGACAACCAACTGCAATTGACTCGATATATGACGATTCCAGTGAAATTAATTTAGATGGCATGGACAATACGTTAAGAATTAACGGGATTTATCCGTCAAAAGAATTCTTGAAGGAAACTTTGCAGTGGGCTGTACGAGGCGTGCGATTAGAGGGCAGCGAATGTTTTGTAGTGCGAAGGTATGCAACTGTAACTATGTTGTATGTTAGTAATGGTAGTTGTTAATAATGAGTAAATAATGCAGTTAAATGTTTACTTTTATTTTAAATGTGAATGATTGCAGGTTTGATTCAGTGCATAGTTGTTCAATTGACTATAGAATGAGCG